CGTGCCTGTGCCTTCATCCCTACACAGGTGAAGGGAATTACCGTTAGGATCACTCAGCCTCCGTGTGTCGGTCCCTCGGGCAGTTTTAAATATTTTTTCCCCCCCTCTGTTTTGTTTTTTTTTCTTTTTATTGTCACATTTATGTAACAAGTGCCTGCCTGCACATGAGATTGGTGTTGCCGTCTAGGGCGTTGCATGCTCTGGGGGTGCTGTATCCAGTGCTGTGTCTGAACATTAAAAAAAATGTCTTTCCGTTGAAGAAGACAGGGGTTAAAATGAATGAAGATCTGAAGGTTAATTTGAGCTGGCTGCCTCAGGATCATGTAGAAGCCAGCTCTACCGAGAATGCCTCAGCCGCAGGCTCCTCCCTGGTTCCTGTCGTAGACCCAGAGCCAGAGCTTTTGGTAAACCCCTGGGACATTGTCTTGTGTACTTCAGGGACCCTTATCTCCTGTGAAAATGCCATTGTGGTTCTTATCATTTTCCATAATCCCAGTCTTCGCGCCCCCATGTTCCTCCTGATAGGCAGCCTCGCGCTGGCAGATCTCTTAGCAGGCATTGGATTGATCATCAATTTCGTTTTTGCATACCTTCTGCAATCAGAAGCTACGAAACTGGTTACGATTGGACTGATTGTTGCCTCTTTCTCAGCATCTGTCGGCAGCTTGCTGGCTATTACTGTTGATCGTTACCTCTCCCTGTATTATGCTTTGACTTACAATTCAGAGAGGACTGTCACTTTTACGTATGTCATGCTTATATTGCTCTGGGGAGCATCTATCTGTATTGGACTGCTGCCTGTAATGGGCTGGAACTGCCTCAGAGATGAATCCACCTGCAGTGTTATCAGACCACTCACTAAAAATAATGCAGCTGTCCTTTCGGTCTCTTTCTTGCTTATGTTTGCCCTCATGCTGCAGCTCTACATTCAAATCTGTAAAATCGTGATGCGCCATGCCCATCAGATTGCCTTGCAACACCATTTCCTGGCCACTTCCCACTATGTGACCACCCGAAAAGGAGTGTCTACTTTGGCCATTATTTTGGGGACTTTTGCTGCTTGCTGGATGCCTTTTACGCTCTATTCTTTAATAGCAGATTACACCTATCCTTCCATATACACCTATGCCACCCTCCTGCCAGCTACCTACAATTCCATCATCAATCCTGTAATATATGCTTTTAGAAACCAGGAGATACAGAAAGCACTTTGGCTCGTCTGTTGTGGCTGTATTCCTTCTAACCTGTCTCAGAGAGCAAGATCACCCAGTGATGTCTGATTGGCAGCTAGGAGGACTCTCCTTAACATGTTACTTTCCAGAGATTCTTGCGATGCTGTCTTTGGTTTAGATGCATTCATTAAATGGTGTGTGATGGGTTCATATAAAAACCACAGGACTCACTGACCTTTTTGTAAACAGAAAACCCCAGTGACCAAAATGAATCGAGTGGTTTGAGGGAGATTTCCAAAATCAAAATAATCAGTATTCTTACAGATTTATAATGTTGCTCAGGGCCTTTTTGTTATATTACCCAGACTTTGCCATGTTTGCCATGATTTTACATTAAGTTTGCTAATTAAAATTAGATTGAAACAGCATACCTCCTTTGAAATTGTTTATGTGATTGAGTTTAGTCATATTGCATGTTACAGTCTGTTGTCAGGATTTTTTCCCCTCTTTAATTCTTTCTAAAACAGAAAAAGAAAAGAAAACAAAACCCAAGTCCTGCTACCCCATTTGTATATCATCAGAATACTCTTCAAAATAATGGCCAATCGTACTGATATCTATGGCATTTATTGTAATAATCTCAGTGCAACAAATTTGCTCTAAGTGAGGAAGTACTTGTATAGGTTTTTATTTTACATCTCAGCATGAATTAGCTTGATAATTGTTTTAAAGGGTTACCTGTTCTCTCCTGGGTTCTGGCTGGATGTTAAAACAGAAGATATGCTTTGCCTTCCTTTTCAAAAGCCAGCCATATGGTTTCTCTTAGATATGGGATGTCAGAGCTCGTTATACTATTAATTTTAAAAGGAATTCAGGGGGGATCTCTGAAATTGATGAAACAATATGGCCTCTTTCGGCTGTGCATTTGTAATAGATGCAACACTAAGTTTCTCAGACAAGTTTATCTTTTCAGAAGCATATAAGAAAATACCTAATAAAATAACCTACAAGTTGCTTGCAACACATATTTAGCATCTATGTGAAATGGTTCCCCTTAAGTTTGTTATCAAGTCAAAACTATTGCCACTGGTTTTCATTGCACTGCTGTATAATTTAAAATACTAAAGCTTATAAATTCTCAGAGCATATCTGGTTCATAATTGTATGCAACCAGAACTGCAACATGAAACAATATTTCCTTCTTTTCTGGCAGTTTCAGCTGTTACAGATTGTGATTCTTTGCACTGTACACATGTCAGTTCACTTCATTATAGGATGATAGTTCTGGTCTAAAAAGCAGAGCTTCCTCTCGTGAATGGTTACATTTCAGACCGCTTCTAACCTTTTACTGAAGCCACATTAGAATGCACTAGAAAGAAAACATTTGTTTTCTAATTTGAAGACTTGATTGTCAGAGAGGAAATCTTCCTGGCAGATGTCTTTGTGAAACTTAAGGTGTACCCTAATGTCAGTGCACGGGAGTTTGTAGCACCGCTTCCATTGGTGTTAGTGGGAGCTCAATGTGGTAATGCCCTGGCAGCCGTAGGAGGGTATATTCCCTTGAATGTCAGTCAGCATACTGTATTGTTGCTTCAGTATTTTCCATTACAGTTTAAAAAAACCCAACAAACTCAAGTGTAAAAATAGCAATATTTACGGTTCAATGAAAAAATATACCTGTATAGTATAGATAGTAGAGACAACTGTGTTGCTGGTCTGGATTTTTCCAAATGGAATCTGTCCTTTTCACATGGACGTTTGGATGACTGTAGCTTTTTGTGGCAAAGTTTCTGTGACGTTAAGAATCATAGGCTATACACAAAGCTGAATCTCAAATGTGAATGAATTGTCTGTAAACAAGGCTCTGTAGAGATTTTTATATGCAATAATTAATTTTAGTTGCAATGCTGGGTTCAAATTCCATTATTTACTTGGTTCAACCTTCACGATATTTGGCTCTTACTTTGTAATCTGATTAGTTTAATAATTGCATGGCATGGTCCAGTAGAGCTATGAACTTGCAGCTCCCTTGGCTTCACTGCGATTTACAGATGCTCAGCACAGCTAGACTGTGGCCCCTATTCAGTGTAGGAGATTGGTGTTCTTCATCTACTTCTGAACGCTAATGAAACTCTAGTTGTTGCATTTTGTTATGAATTTTTGTATAAGAAATAATCACTTCATAAATATCCATGCTATGTATGCGTTCAGTTTTGCAAGTATGCAAAGTATTGGGAATAAATGGCAGTAAAAGTCATGAGCTGAATAACAGAGAGAGGCTGAATAATGTAGAATGGCACTTTTAAAAGCAGGAAATAAGTTAGTCATGCAAACTTTACACACACCCCCTTTTTTTTCCCCCTATTTGTTCTTCTGTATCAAATTGCTCAAAAGTGTGATGAAGACGAGCCGCTACAACTGTGACCAAAATTCAGTCCTGAGGGCAGCTGTTGTTTTGCTCATGCAGACCTGTTCTCATCCTCTTGGATAACCTCGCAGGCACTGGTGTTCTTCTCTCCACAGCACCTGGGTGGTAGGGAAGACAGAAAAAAACAGCACAGAGGGAGATAATGTCGTCCTCTCTTCCCATGCTGGTTCACCTAGTGTCCTTGTCATCTTCCTCGCTCCACAGGCTGCTCAAATCCACAGAGGCTCTCCAGAGTGCTGGGGGAGCCGACCTTTTCCTTGTGCCAGAGCACAGAAATTTGTAATTGGAAACTCCTCTCCTGAGGAGCAGTGCGAGTCAAACGGAGGAAAGAAGGATTAATTATAGAAGTCCCACAAAGCTAGCTTGTAGGGATGTGATTTGCCCTTGTTTGAGGAGTAGCGCGTGGTTACCTTAAACCGCAAACAGATGAGAAACATGATTATGCCTCCCAAGCTACTGCTGTGACCCCCAGTGAGGATGTTGTCTCTTCCAGAAATATGTTCTTAAATTGAGACTGTGCAGCATTGGCCAGAAAAGCCTTCTGGAAGTCAATGACATAGGTTTGCCCACAGCTGTCAGACCAAGCTTTAACATGGTTTGCAGTACTGGATAGATGCTATATAACACACATGTCAACGAGCTTTTGGGAGTAGGGGCAGAGCTGTGGGTACAAAGCTGCCTACCTCACTTGCACAGGAGAAATGCTTGACGGACAGCCACTTTTCAGACCCTGCAGAATTAAGCAATTCTCTGCTATCACCTCAGAGTTACAGTGTAGGCCCCGGTTCTGTATGGTGAGGTGCCAGTATCCATCCAGGATCCCCCTGAAACTGGCAGAAATCCTGCCAGCTTGCAGGATTCTGTCATTTGTTGTCCTGTCAAACAACACCCGGGCATAAGACGTCATTAATGCGTTATTTAGTTTAAAGAATTGAAGTTCATTTTTATTTATTAATATGCTTTACCTGGTGTTAGTAGCAGGTTGTACCTTGATGGGCAAAATTTACTATAGTCATTTTTTTCATATATTCATCCTCAGAGCTTGGGAGAGGATTTTTTTTTTACTTGTCTTCCTCCCCCCCCCCCCATTTTAACCATTTCTCCTAACAGATTTCAGCAATAAGGGGAAATATGTTTTTAGCACAAGAGCAATAAAATCCTCCATGTTGCAGGTACTATAAACTGCTGAGTAAACTCAGAGCAATAGAGAGGAAGCAATATATTCTTTAGACAAAAAATAGTAACTTGCATAAAGACTTTAAGTAAGCAGAAGTCTTCCTTTGTTAAACAGTTGCTATCAGACTGATGTGGGACATTATTTTTGGTGGGTTTGTGTTACCGTTATTGAGTTCCTGAATAGAATTACTCAGCAATAACCTTTTACCTTAGTTCTTGGATCCTGAATTCATGCTATTTGCGAGAGAGAATTACGCACTGCAGTGGGGATTTTTATTTGTTTCATTGTTTGGCGTTTAGTTGTACAGCATTCTGTGGATAAATTCATTGTGTTCAGGATTTCCAATTGTAACTTAATACTGAAAATACTCTTCACCAAACAAAAACTGAGAATACCGGAATTTGTCATGCCCATCGAGATGGATATGATAAATGGTGCTAGCCCATTCTGAAGACAGCTTGGCTTTTAAAAGCACAAGGTTATGGTATCATTGAAGAAAACTCCTACCAATACCCAGGGTATTTGGAAGCAAGCTGAAAGGCCTGCTATCGCTGCTGTATCTTCCTACCATGGACACTCAGTGCCATAGGCAGCTGCATCCATCCTTTGTGTTCAGGGGCCAGCTGTGAGGCATCTTGGAGTCACTGAAACCCCTCCATGGACAGCAGCAAGCTTTGGCTTAGACCAGCAGCCGTTCTGTCCCCAAAGAGTTATTTTTCTGTTGTCTCATTTTCTTAGGGATTGTTTAGCTTTTAAAAATAAGATACTTGTGGATTCATTTCTCAAAAGTAATGAGCAACCTGCAGCGTGACTGGAAGTTGGGATAAAATAGCTTCGCTACAAATCAAGGCCCTGAAACATAACTACACACTCATTACTTAAAAAAAAAAAAAAAAGTGGTTATGTAACATTCAGAACCATATTTTCAAAATCTTGGCCCTGACTTTTATGGAGGAAAAAGTATGTATGGTCTGGTTTTTGTATGTACAATAAAGAAAGAAAGAAAAATAAGAATTGGACAGAGTGGTCACTATTTAAAAAACCACCAGCTATTCTGGCACTTTATCTGAGATACTAAATGGTTCTTAGTCCTTGAAACAGAAACCAACTCTGGCAACTTTCTAGAAAATCCTGAATACCCACAAGTCAGTGTAAAAGCTTTTTAGCAAAAGTAGGAGGACTAGCATGGTTGCTAGTGCAAAACGATTTGATGTAACAGATCAGTTGTGAGTGGGAATAAGAACAGTATATCTGCACACCAGCTGTAGACAGATCAAGTCCTAGGTGTATAGGAATATAATCAAAAAAAGGTGAACAGCATTTCTTTAAATCATACTGCTGCAAGAAGATGATACCAGATAGACTCTCACTGGATACGGATCCTATGTTGTAAGAATTCAAGAATATTTCAAAGTGCTACTGGCCAGCTATTCAGGAAAGGCATCGTGGTGGTGTACTTTTTGAGGGGGATCAAGAATGCAGCTAGATCTATGAAAGAAGTAA